AAGAAGCTGTGGGTCTGCAGGCACTGCCACCTTCGCGTCAAGCATAAAGATGACAAACGACCCCTACAGCTCAGAGGCCTCTGGGACGTCTGCAGCAGCTGCTCTGCCACGACACCTGGACCCCAAACAGCCCGCCAACACTTTAGCCTGGCTGGGGTCAGATGTTTAATGACTCTGAACAAGTCAACTTGCAAATCTTCTCCCATTCAGGGAGATGGCATAACTGTGCCACTGCCAGAGCACACTAAAGTCAGGGCCACACAGCAAGGCCGCCAACGTTGACAAGGCTTTTGCACAGGGGATTTTATTCAAAATGCAGATTGCAAATAAATTTAGAAGCAGACACAGCAAGGCTTCCATGGAAACAGCACAAAAACCCAGCTGTGGTTTGGATGACTGTGAGTCTTGGCAGTCTTGACTAATCCCTTAAGTGCCATCCAATTACTGCAAATGTGTTTGGCATCTACTATAGCAATTGCAAAGAATTAAATGGTCGGATGGCACTCATCGGAAATTACAAGTCACAGAACCCTGTAATGCATTTAAGAAAAAACATCTAAAAAGGAAAATAGCATTACCCACTGCAAGAACTGACCTCCTTGAGAGCCATAAGGGACAACAAAAAGGATCCAAGTAATGAGTGAAACTTAATTCAGAGAAGAAACTAGAAAAAAAAAGAAGAGAAAGAGGGAGAATAACTAGATTGAGTGAAGGAGCTGGGTTTGCTTAGCCTTGAGAAAACTCTCCTTGCAACTCCTTATTCTTAGCCCAGCTTATACAATTAACACTCTGTCCCTTAGAAAAGTAATCAAAAAGCTACAAACAGCTTTTTTGTGACCAGACTTACCAAGTATGATGTGACTGTAGAAATCTCCAGGTGCTTCAGAACAGGTAGGACTTCAGTGTGAAATGGAGAAGGTTTGGGAGGGAGGATGGGCAGCAAGAACCACAACTGCTGTATACTGCAGTCCTTTTACTGACAGTGACGCTCAGGGGAAGACCTGTCTAGAGCAGTGGAAAAAGCAGACAACACGTTTCCCTCCCCTAAGAAAAGCCAGCATGCCTCGAAACTGAAAAATAAATAAGTGAATAAAAAAGGAACCTTTGAAAAGCGCCTTCCTTATAATGCCACCACCTCAGTCGCTGCTGCGCACAGAGGAGCGGCGCTCTGCCCTGAAGCTCTTCAAAGGGATTCTCTCTCTCAGAGCAGCGTATTCTGTTTTCCATGCACTTAATTCTTCATCAAGGTCCTTCCACACAGGGACATGCAAAGAAGAACATCTTTGCAACAGCTCTGCCAAAACCTGGACGGAGTGATGGAGAGCAGCCCCAGAGATGCGCTACGCTATACCTGGGCTACAGCAAAACACTCAAACCACTGTCAGCAGCCAGTGCAACTGCACAGTCAGGCTTCTCCTGCAAGAATTTCTTTTTAAAGAAGATGCAATAAAAACACGACAAAAAAAAGAGGATTTACACAAAGCGGGGTGACAGTGCAGCCGTTCAGACCACACAAAGCACTCTTCTTTCCAAATACCACAGAGCTGTTAGGACAAAACCCCTGACACAGGTGGTTCTTTGGTTCAGGCAATAATTTCCTTTCTGAGCTCTCACCTGAGAAGCTGACACTTGTGAGCAGATTTGGAGTGCACGCAGCTCCAAGGAACTCTACAATCAGCCAGGGATGGGAGAGAAAGAAATTTAAGCCAGAAGAATGGCTGCAGCTGCTGACTGAGCTGTATGCTAGCGCGAGATCTCTGCATCTCTCTCTTGTACTGTTCAAAGTCACACAAGGGTCCTACGTTACTCAAACAGTCTCTTGCTGTGCTACCTCGCACTTTTGCCCTAAGCAGGCAGGCCAGTGTGCTTAGCACCTTTAGCTTCTGGCAAATTTAGAGCTAGGACTTAGCCAGGCTTGCGCAGCCCGTAGGAGGCCCATCCCGTCAGGAAGGTGATCCCTGTAATAGTCTCGAAGAGACGTATTAATAGCACTACCTGGGCACTAGACAGGAGTTTTACAAGGAAACTTCAACAAAGGCCACAGTTTTCCCGTTAACTTTAGTTTTCCATCAGGCAATACTGGTTAAGCCAAAGGAGACAGGAACTGTTTTGCCTTCTGAAGGTCTGAATGAAAAAATCTTTGTTTAATCTACTGCCGTGTGTAAACACACATTAGATTTGTGGAGTTTATGGTTAGCCAAACACGACAGAAATAAACCAATTACACAATTAGGGACAGAGAAAGCCACAGAAAGGAATAGTACCGAGTGTCTGTACTTGTCCCTCTTTGGAAACAGCCAACACCTGAGGGGGCTGAGATCATTTCATTACTTGGGCAAGAAAACACCTAGCACTGGCTAACACCAGCCATGGGGATTGGCCAGGCACTTTCTTTCCCCAAACCGTGTAAATTGCAATTACTGATAATTTGCATCTGATAAGATGAGATTGCTCATGATTCACCCTACTTTCTGGCACACCTGCAGCAGGGTGGGTGGCAACACTGCAGCTCACTGCTCGGCTCTGCCCTTGGCTCCGGGTGGTGAATCACCGCTTGAGGAAGTACCTCCTGAGACAGGAGGGGTCTGTCTGAACTGGCAACGAGGACCATCGTACAAGGTTTGATTTGTCACCAAATCAGGACTTGAAAGCAACTGAAAATGGAAAATCAGAAATAAGATTGTGAGGTACAAAAAAACCTAATCGCCACATACACACGCTTCTGATTCCAAGAACCAGAAAGATTAAGGGACATGCTTTACTGTGTTAAAATGTACAAATGTGTGTATATATATATACATTGATATATATGTATATACATGTATATGCAAAATGCTTGTCCCTCCATTTTCATTAGCGATAGCAGGATGGGAAGCTTCTCCTAATCCATTTCTATTTCAATCTGTTCCGAAGCTACTCAGCAATAAAATCAATTTAAGAACCACTCAGCCTCACAGCAACTAAGACTGCAATCCAATACATAAATCTAACAGGCTCCACGATGAAATTTTCCTAGCATATCTCCATGAAAGCAAAATTTCTCATGGACAGTCTAGTTTATCAATACCGGGCAGTCCCTCTATGATAAATAGTCCGTTCAAATTAAACAAGGAGGCAACTGGATTGCCCAAAAGAGCCGGGCCCTATGGTCAAAACAGCAATTTGGGAGAGTCCTAAGATCCGGAGCAAGTCATGGATCTACCAGGGAATATGAATTGCTTTGCATCTCAGCCAGACTTTGACTCTGCTAAAGAGAGACTCTTTTTTTCCAAAAAGCCCGTGAAATAATTCAGAGCTTCTGCTTTGGCCAGCTTAGTCTTCAGGATGTATTTTCTCGCTCCATCACAATTTTATAGTTTCTTTTGAAAAAGCCACAGTGGGGAAAAAATTAAAATAACTTATTAAGTCTTTGTGTATGCATTAATTTTTGCTTTTTCTTAAAACAATATAAAATTAATTTTTCTTCTCAGGGTTACAGTAAGTGAATGAGTGAATGCAGGATGCAATCCAGGTACGACTTCTGGCAGAGCTGTAAGCCTGAAGGCCGACATTGTTCACAACTCTTCAGAACATCGATAAGCACTTCATAACGTTCAAATATTCTGCAAAGAGCTTTAAAATGGCACTTGAGAGGTTATGCTGAAATGCTCCGAATAGCTCAAAGTGTAAGACTGAGGTTTTACAACAGGAAGCAGCAGATGTTCTTCAGTGCCCATTTGAAAATATTGCTTTCATACTTAGAGAAATGTTAAAAAATGGTAAAACATCTAACAAAAAGATTTCTGTTTTGTTGTGTGTGCATTAATGCTACCCGCTTTCCAGAGGAGCAGAACAACGAACGCCAGTGAGAGAAGTCCACCAACAGAGCTTCCTACGGTAACAGGCAGGAGATCAAACACTTCATCTTTCAGGAAGACAAGAGTATTCTGGAACTGAATCAAGGCCAACTGAGCATATACCATACTGAACACCAGTTATTTTTTTACAGTTAGCTTTTAACTGAGAGAGCTACATAACTTGAGCTAGCGATCAACCTTTAAACTACGCCAGATGCACCATCAGCCCACCTTTGCACATACTTTGCAACACAATATGAAATATTTTTTTTCATTGCAAGCCTAGTCAAGGGAGTTAAATTTACTGAGTCTTCTTTACAAGTTTACAGCGATTACAGTAGTAACCAGTGACGATCTTTCACATTAAAGGAGAGCATGTCTTCA